ACCGCCCCACTGCTTGCCTGTGCCTTGGTTTCTCTGCCTTAGTAGAATTGCTCAAGGTCACACAGCAAGATGTTAGGTGCCATGGAGTCAGCCTAGATTCATGGTGAATGAGACACTGCCTGTCCTGCACCATCCCATGATCTGTTGGGGATCATACCATTGCGATCCATAGGGTTTTTACTGGCTGATTTTCAGAAGCAGATCTCCAGGTCTTTCTTCCTAATCTTAGTCTGGAAGCTCCCTGAAACCTGTTCAGCATCATAGCAACATGAAAGCCTCCAATAACAGACAGTAGTGGCTTTCCATGAGGTGTATTGATTGGGAATCAAACTGGGTCTCCTGCATGGGAATCAAGAATTCTACCACTGAACTGTCCCTTCACAGCAAATTAGTGGCAAATGATTATGATTTTTACCAGGCCCGGGAAGGTGGCCCTTGCTGGATGGCATAGTCCTGACTTGGTTCCTGAGGTGGAGACACCCTGGTTATGGACAGGCCTCCAGGTGCTTCCCCCTGTAAGGAGTGGCTCCTCATCTGTTTCCCCAGCCCTCTCGTTCATCTTGTTTCCTCACAGTTCCTCTGTTTCTGTGACTAGATTTTTCTTTGACCTTTTCTCCCAGCTCCCTTTCATAGTCCTTCACCCCCTCTATTTCTCTCTGGGTCTCCATCTGACTGCCTCTTTGTCTCCTCTCTCTGTCTGCCTTCTCTCTCCATCCTTGCCTGCTGGTGAGTTTACTCCACTCCTTTAGTGGGTCCCTGGAGCCAGGTATTTCCTGCAGTCATCCTCAGGGATTTGTCACTCTCTCAAGTTCTGTTTTCCAACCTGGTGTCTCAGTTCCACTCCTGGGATCCAGAGAATTTATGATTTGGTAGCTTAATTAGTGGTGTGATTTGGGGAGCTGAGAAGACCTCCAAGCTCCTAAATATACGTCAGTACTCCTACTCCCCCATTGTCATTTCTGTAGCCATCAGTACTGGTTGGCACTGGTGTGGGCAAGACCCAGTACCGCTTATGTAGGAATGAAGACAGTCCCTGCCCAGTGAGCTCACCATGGATGAGGGGGTGATGTGTGAGAGAAAACAAGTACACAAGTGATGCAATCTCAAGCGATTCTTGTGAGACATTGGAGAAAGAGAAAAGGAATGCTCTGTTCCTCACAGAACAGGTGGAGGCCAGATCTGGTTGGGGCCAGAGGAAGGCTCCATGAAGCAGGTAACATTTAACTGGATTTTGAAGGACAAGTGGGGCTTCAACCGGAGGGGATATGGTGGGGTACATTCTGAGCAGAGGGGTCAGCGTGAGTAAAGACCTGGAGATTGGAGCAGGTACCATGTTTTCAAGGCACAATGAGCCAGGAAGTTAGGGTGTATGCAGAGGGGCTAGAGAGCAGGTGGCTGCCAGAGTCTGGAGCATCTCACAGGTAGGCTTCACAGAAGAGCCCTGATGATGTCACTGGGGTTTCTGAGCAGAGAGGGGCCTGCTAAAGTCCTTAGTGAAAATGGAAGAATCACTGTGGAAAGCAATCCATGCAATGGGTCCCAGTGCTCCCTGTCTCTCAGCGTGAAGGATTTTTTACTCCAAGTGCTACCTGAGAGCAGGTGTTGATGGGAAGAGAAGGTAGCACAAGGGATTCAAGGGAGGAAAGAACACTGGGTAGGTGTGCAAGCTGTAGAGGAGGACACTGGAGGCTCCCAGACCTGACTCCATCTACCCTTCTAGGGCTGGTTTCCAAGTCCCACAGTGATCTCCCCAGGAAGAGATGATTGACTTTGTGGGCTGGTTCCTGATTGGTTCTTAGTCTGAGGCTTGTCTGCGGTTGCATAGTCCAGGGCTCCCCTGGGGTGGGGTCTGTGAAGGGTCTCTGTACCATGCTTGTCCTCCTGGGCTGGGCTGGGCTGGGGTTTCCACTTGCTGCTGTGGGACTGCTGCTGCCCTGAGGGAGGAGGGCGGTGCCGCTGAGTCACTGCCTGGGCATCTGGGCCTGGAACCACTGGGTGAGTCACCTAGGATGGGGTGGGGCATGGGAGTGGGGGAGGGGGAGGGAGTAGCAAGCAGCTTGACATCTGGATGGGGGAGGGGAGCTGGGCCCACAGGAAGGGTGGTGCCCAGACTGGAATGGGGATCAACAAAGAACAGTTGGTGAAGGGGGGCCTAGGAGGAGAGTGGTGGCCTGGGAGGGGGTAGTGTGAAGTCTGTTCTCCCTGACAACCCCTCCCTGGGGCTGGGTTCTGAATGGCCACAGTATTTGCCCTTCTCTGGGTGTGAGGAAGGCACATGTGCAGGTGAGAATAGTGGGGAGGGAGGGCCTGGGCTGTGGCCTCTACCTTAGGTCTGACCTTCTGACTTGGGAAGCTATCCAGCCCCATAGTTTCAGCTCTGGGTAGCTCCTTACTCACAGTGCCCCTACCCCTATTCACAGCCTGTCCACCCCTATTCCCAGGAAGCTGAAGAAGAGGAGGCTAAGTGTTTCCTATTCTCCCTTTAAATCCCCTCAGGATTGTCTTATACTGTGCACAGGCCAACCCTAGCCCCAGCCCGACCCATTTGTGCACCCCAACCCCAAATTCCTTCTGTAGTTGTGTGCAAAGCAAACCAGATCCCTTCAATCTTCCCTGTCTCCTTCCAGACCACTTCCTACTCAAAGGAGTCTTTCAACGCATTTTAAATCACCCCTAGTTATCTCATTACCTCATTAAGAGGCATTCTGGTGCCAGCTATTAAAAGTAACTTTGTTTCCCTCATGCCCCAAAGTCAACCCTGCCCTTCTGCTCCTGATACAGCTGTCTTCTGTGGCACCAGATTTCTAATGGTGGCCCCTTCTCTCTCTTGGGCACACTCGCATACTTACTCACTCTGCTCATTCAGAATACAAGAACACCAAGGCCCCATGGAGCTGGAATGGCAGGGAGGAGGACTTTGAGGTACCCAGGCTGTGAAGGCCAGGCATACTCCTGCAATTGTCAACAGAGGAATGAGCTGTGGTTCTCAGGTATGTCATGAGAACTAGGCTGGTATGAGTCTCTAGGCTCTGTGAACAGGGGCTGCCTCCTCTCATCCCAGGCTTCAGCTCCCAGGGCCCTGGCCTGGCTGCCCCTTCTCCATTATACTCCCCACTGTGACCTGAGTGGGCTCAGGGGCTGCCTTCGGCTGGGTCTGGAGCCCTTTCCTAGCCCTCCTGGAAATGGCAGTCTCTGGGAGGGAGGGGATGTGAAGGGAGTGGGCGGAGTGGCAAGAGGCCAGTTTTGGTGCGATCAGGTTGGAACAAGTTTGATTTCCTCAAAATGCTCAGTTTGGGGCCAGTGGAGCTAGCATATAAATCCCAATCCTGGGTGGCTGGCTGCTTTCCTTTCCTTCTTGGGTCTCTGTCTGCTACCCGGTTTGGTGAGTACATCTGTCTTGCTGAGGCAGGGACGGCAGTGGGCCCATCCTGCCAGACTGCCTTCACGGAGGTGGGAGAGAGTGGGAAGCGGCAGTGGGCAGTAGGGGCCTCAGCTTTTGTCCCTTTGTCTTTTAGTCTCCACAGTATCTTCACTCCAGTTTCTTTGGTTGGAGCAGCCTGAGGCCTCTCTGGGTCTCTCCCATTTGGGAGGCCCTCTGTGGAGTGTCAGATTGAGGGATCTTATTCCAGGTTCTTCTGTGTGATCTCAGTTTCAGGGGTCTCTCTGTGGCTGTCTTAATCTGAGGGCCCCTCCGTGGCTCTCTCAATTTTTGAGTATCTCAGTCCATGGGTCTTTTTGGAGGCATTTGGCTGCTAACCAAAAAGTCAGTGGTTCAAACCCACCAGCCACTCCATGGAAGAAAAGTGGGGTAATCTGCTTCCATAAAGATTTATAGCCTTGGAAACCCAGTGGGGGTCGCTATGAGTCAGAATCTACTCAACGACTGTGAGTTTGGTATAGTTTTGAGGTCTAGGAGTATGAGGTATATTTTTATTTATTTATTTACAAAGTCCTGGGTTGTAGCAGGACTGAAGAACAAGAGCCAGGGATCTCAAGTGCTTGACTCACCTGGGTCCTGGTCCTAACTATTGGTGTAGTGGCTCACTGCCACTTTCTGCCCTTCCCGGCCTTGGTGAAGGCAGGGCTGGTAGGATGGGCCAGGGCTTTCCCTGCCTCAGGCATCAGCTTTTCTGGCCTCACCCTGGAACCTGCCTAACCTTTCCAGGCTGGCCTGAGAAAGCTCAGAGGCAGAACCTTGGAAAGGATGACCCCTAGGTCTGTTCTTGTGTCCCCAGAGTCTTACTTGATCCCAAGGGCACTGGGCATTTAATTTCTTTGGTTCCAATCCTAACAAATAGCCATGTTCCTTACTGGTGGAGATGTTTTGTTGCCTTCACCCTACCCAAACTTGCTCTGTCTGCAAAGAGATGGCACCTTATGGCTCAGGGGCCTTCAATGCAAGCAGGAGACAGAATCTCTGTCCTCTGAGAGGCCCTAATCTGAGAGAGGAAGCTGCCCTAAGGGAGCTTCAAGTTAGGTAGGAAAGAGACACACTCTGGCCTTAGGAGCCCCTAGTCTAGGTAGGAAAAGGACTCCTCAGTGAACCTCATACTCTTAAGCTGTAGCCATGACCACTGCCAGACAGCCCGGGTACCCCCTGCAAACTAGCTGTAGAGAAGCCTATGGAACTCAATGCTTGACACAAAGCCTGTGGAAGGAGCCGCACAGAGAGGAGTGAAAATGGGATCATCTGTCGTTTCCCTTCCCACAGAGTCTCAAAGGGGGGAACCCTACCCACAGGGATCCCCAAGTGAAATCAGAGGGGACATGAGTCCCTGCTCTTGGTGAGTCTCTGATTTAGTATGAGGTAGAGATATGGCCTCTGCCCTCAAGGAGCCTTGGCCTGAGTGGGGAGACAGCCCTTGTCTTCCCTTTCAGAAAGGAGTTTGGGGAGATAGTTTGAGACTCACAGGAAGAAGTGGGTCCTGCAGGTTGGGTGGAGGTCTCAAGAGCTTGGTGGTGTGACCATTACCTGACATCTCTGTAGCCCCAGGTCCAAGATGTCCAGTCCCCTGGAAGAAGCACTGAGTGTGATAGTCAACACCTTCCACAAGTACTCAGGCCAAGAGGGTGACAAGTTCAAGCTGAGTAAGGGGGAGATGAAGGAACTTCTGCACAAGGAGCTACCCAGCTTTGTGGGGGTGAGTGGGGCAGGCCTGGGTGGAGAGGGCCTCTAATGTCTTGGTGTGTGAGTGTGTAAGGCACAGGGTGTATCTCCTCTCCAGCTCCTCCTATCTTCCCCATCCTCATACTGATGTAGATGCTAAGGTAAAGCCAAGATCTTCCCCCACCAACTTCTCCTTCATGGTAGAGAACAGATGTTCCAATCCTAACAATCCTCAAAGTCCATCTGTCAAATCCCCTCATTGTAGAGTTGAGAAACTAGAGCCCAGAGAGGGGAAATGGCTGGTTTAAGATTATACAGCTTGCTCTCACTCTCTTTTTCCATATCGATGTGCCAAACTAGGGAGCTCTGGTAGCATAGTGGCTAAGGCACTTGACTGCTAACCAGAAAGCTGGCGGTTCAAACCCACCAGCCACTCCTCGGAAGGAAGATGGGGCAATCTACTTCCGTAGTGATACTGCCTTGGAAACCCAAGGAGGGGTCGCTATGAGTCGGGTCCGACTCGACGGCACATAACAACAACAATAACAATGTGCCAAACTAAAGTGTGTAGGGAGAGAAAAGTCCCTTTAAGACGTGTATGCTGGGACATTTTGCTGAGAGATGTGTGTAGTCAACTCTCAATTTGCCCCTTGCCACACCAACTCATGGATAATCCCCAAATCAGATCTCAGTCTTTCAACATAGGAGGCATGCCCTTCTTTCCCACTCTTTTTTTTTTCTTTTTTATTTTTTTGGTTAAAGTTTTCTAATTTGGTTTCATTTTAGTTGGTAGTAAAAAGAATTTGCCTTTTCAATACCTGTCACAACATGGATGAACCTTGGAAACATCATGCTGAGCAAAATAAGTCAATTGCAAAAAGGACAAATACTGTATGATCTCTCTTGTATGAAATAAGCAAATATATAGAAACCTAATATTATTCATGGTTACCAGGGGTGTAAAGAAGGGATAAAGGGGAGTTTTTTTGGGGGGACACTGAGTTTATGCTAATGGTGCAAAAGGAAAGCAATAATGATGGCACAAAATGAAAAGTATAATCATGTTATCAATGTCATTGAATTGTAAACATGGAAGTTGTGTTCACGAATGTTTGGGTGTGTATATTTTCACCATAATAAACACACACACACAAAGAGGCTTTTTTTTTTTTTTTTAAATTTTTAAATTCACTCTGCTGGGGCAGTGTTGGACCCAGAAAACTTTAGTTCCCTCATCAGCAAATTGGAGGTAGTGATACCTACTCATTGGGTTCCTATGAAGACTGGAGCTGCTGAGACTGTGCTTGGAGTAGTACCTGGCATACTCCCCACTCCCAGCAGGGCAGGGTTGGTGACTCTCACCAATGAATGTCTACATGACCTTACTCATTGTTAGTAGTGCTTAGGAGGTCCCTGCCCACCACTTACCCAATTGTCCAGTGTGAAAGGAACTGGCAAGTGTGTGTGTGGTGTCTGCTTTTGTGTTTGACAAGGATATGGGGTTGGGGGCTAACTTGATGATGACCATATCCTCTGTTGCTTCAGGGAGAGGTGGATGAGGAGGGACTGAAGAAACTGATAAGTGATCTTGATGAGAACAGCGACCAGGAAGTGGACTTCCAGGAGTATGCTGTTTTTCTGGCCCTCGTCACTATGATGTGCAATGACTTCTTCCAAGGCTGCTCAGTGCGACCTTGAAACAGAACTCTTGACTTCCTGCCCATGGGTCTTTCAGGCCCAGGAGGACTTTCTAACCTTTTGGTTTTGTGCTCAATAAATTTTTTTTTTTTTTTTTCTGAATATAGTATTTTTATTTTATTAGTTTCTGAGTGATGTTCCATAATTTCACTGGCTCAGTTGGAATGCTGGAAGCTGAGGGTCTCTCAGATCCCATCTCCTTCTGGGCCCTGACTTTCCTTCTGGAAATCTCACAAGGCCTTAGGTTCTAGATTTTGAGATTTCAAATGCAAGTGACATTTTGGAAATTGAGATAAGTTGCCAATATTTTTCTTTTCGCCAAATAAAAAATATATAAAAAGGCAAATACCACATGCCAACACTATCATTTCCTAAAAAGATAAAATTAGAATTCTAATAAAGGAGGACATTGAACACTGTGAGCAAAATGAGTTGTTCTAGGATCTGCTCATGAAATGTCAGTTGGTCTAATCATTCTGCCAGCCTTCATTACAAGAATTTCTTGTAAGTTTTCAGGCTGTAGACAGTACACCTCTTCTTTTTTTTCCTAAAGCACAGTTGTATTTCTTTTAATATCTGCTTTCAGACTGGCTAGTTTTAGTTGGAGTTCATTCCTCTCCTGTGGGTCTGTGCTAAAAGCTACAAGGAGTCAGCTCATGTCAACATTCTACCATTTTCTCTAAAACTATAGCCTGGGTACAAAAAAGACATTTTGACCAAATGCTTTGTCATCTCATAACCAGGTTTGCCAGCTTTCTAGCCTGCAAAAGTTAGGTCCTCATATCTTATAGTTTTTCCCCTCCATTCAGTCAATTCCACATTTTAGGTTCTTTTTTCATTGATGGATCCCACCAATTACCAAAATTTTTACTAGTTATGGATGTATTAACTTATAGGTTATAGCAAACCTGACTAACAGCAAACCAAAAACCAAACCAAATGCACTGCCATCAAGTCGGATCCGACTCATAGCAACCCCTCCTTGGGTTTCCCAGGCAGTATCACTAAGGAAGTAGATTGCCCAACCTTCCTTCTGAGGAGTGGCTGGTGAGTTTGAACTGCCAGCCTTCTGGTTAGCAGTCAAGTGCCTTAGGCATTATGGTACCAAAGCTCCCCTGACTAACAGTAGTTTAAATAAATTGTGTTTAAATGTTTTACACCACTAGAAGTCTGGGGTAGGCAATTCAGGATTGATTCAGTGATCTGAGATGCTGCTTTGGTTATCTATTGCTGCATAACAACCATCTCAATACTTGGTGGCTTAAAACATAAATTTGTTATCTCTCATGGTTCTGTGGGTGGACTGGGCTCAGTTGGTGGTCCTCATTTGTGTAGTTGCAGATAGAAGTTGGAGCTGGAGTCATTTCAAAGTTCAGTTGAACTCGGCCTCCAAGATAGCTACTCACTCATATGCCTGGAAATTGATGCTGATAGTCAGCTGGGAGCTCAGCTAGGGTTGTAACTGGAGTGCCTACCTATGACCTATCTATGTGGCTTGGGCTTCTCACAGCATGACATCTAGGTTCTGAGAGAGTATGTGCTCAAAGAGGGCATTCCACGAGGCCCAAATGGAAGTCTAGCAGGCAGGATTCTTAAGACTTAGCCTTGAAAATCCCAGAGTATCACTTCTTCTGCTTTCTATTAATCAAACAAGTCATTAAAGCTGGCCCAGATTCAAGGAGAGGAGAATTAGATTCTCTCTCTTAATGCGAGGAGGCGCATTCATGAAACTACAATTCATATCACCCTCATATGCAAAATACATTTACCTCCTTGCTAAGATCCACAAAGTTTAATCCCATTAAGGCATCAGCTTGAAATTCAGGATCTTGCTATCTAAGTCAAGTTGGATGAAGCTTCTTATGTGCAGTATAGCTGCTCAGTATGGTTTCTTTTGATTCTTAAGACCTGTGAACATACTCAACTTACAATGGTGGTGAGACAGGGATAGAGAACTGCAATAGACACACACATTAAAAAAAAAGGGATGTGTGGATTGGAGGTGCAGAGTGGTCATTGGTCCATAGCAATTCTGAAACTGAGTCAGATACATGTCACCACATTCTCGATTAGAGCTCAGTTCTGCTCCTTATATGTAGTCCTTCTTGCATCTTTCAACAAAAACCTACATGAGTGGGATATTGCTATTATGAAAATCTAAAACATGTGTTGTTGGTGTTGGGACCAGACAATGGGTGGTGGCAGGTGGGAGAACCTCAAGGAGATTGTTAGTAACAAGTTGAAAGAAAGTGAGGAGCAGCTTTAATTGACTCATACAAAAAGAAGTCTAGGGCAGGCAATTCTGGGCCAATTCAGGAGCCCAGTGATGTCATCTGGGACCCAGAGGTTTTTCATTTTTCTGCTCTGTAGTCCACAGCATATATGCTTTTTTCCTTATGTTTATTGCTTCATGATCACAAGATGGCTACTGTACTTCCTGGTCTTACTCTTCATGATCCAGGCTGGAAGATGGAGTGCCTGTAAAAAGCTTTTCTCTCTAGGACTGTTGCCTAGTTAGTCCAGGGGACTAGTGGACCATGCAAACCTCAACCTATTTGACCATGAGACTGGAAGAACTAGATGGTGCCTGGCTACCACTGTCAACCACTGGGAAAAGGATCAGTGCAGGAGATCCTGGATAGAGTTGGAGAACAATGTGGAATAAAACTCAAAATCATAAAAAAGACCAGGTTTACTGGTCTGATAGAGCTTGGTGAGACCGCCAAGACTATGGCCCCTAGTTACCCTTCAGGTATGGAGTTGAACTCACTTCTATGGCTTTCAGCCAAATAATAGACAGGCATGTAGGGTGAATATTTATGTCAGGGAGATACACTCCTTAGAATGATCAATCATGGCAGAAAAGATGGGAAGTATTTGCACAGGGAGATATCTCAGGGGGAAGAAATGCATAGGAAAGAGGGACATAGGGAAGAGGTAACTACAGGGAGGAAGTGGGAAAAGAGGCGGTACATTATGGGGAATCACAGCCAATGTCATAAAACAAAATGTGCACGACCTAGAGTAAGGCAAATGAATTTGCTCTGTAAACTTCCACCCAAATCACAATAAAAATTGAAAAAAAAGTTGTTGCTTTTTTAGTATGGAAAGGGTGCCCTCCCCATGGACCTATATCTCTTTGGCCTAAACTGAATCATATGGCTAACTCCTTTCTTCAACCAAGTATTTTTACTTCAGCATGTGCCACTTTGAAAGAAATAAAACCAATGTTCTAATAAAATAATATTCTAATAAAATAGTTGGGATGGATACTGCACAGATAGGCATTATTTTCCTTAATAATTTCCTTACTTCCCTGGGAAACTCTGATGCTGGGAACCATATAAAGAGCAGCTCAGACTAGAGTTCTCCAGAGAGGAAAGGAGCTGAGTTAGAGGATGCTGGGACAACCTGCTTGTTCTCACCTACTGTTCCTGCCTTAACTGCTGAACTGGTGAGGCATGACCAAGCAGGCCCTCCAGGATAAATGGTCTCTTTTCATGACAATAAAAAGAGATAAGCCCACCTTCTTAATACTCTGTAGGAAAGGGAGCTAGTCAATATAGGTCAGGGGATCATGATTATGATAATTAACATTTCTACAACTGGTCTCAAAGCTCCTTTCCTGCACACTATCATTTCAGCCTCTTGGTAACCCTGGCGAGCTATCATTAGGTCCCTTTTACAGATGAGGAAACAGAGAGGGAGTAACATCTGTCCCTCTGGCCAGACTCTCTGCTAGGCCTGTTCAAGCATCATCTCATTTAGTCATCACAACAATTGTGTGAGGAATGTACTACTATTTTCTGCACCTTACAGATGAGGAAATAGAGTTCCAACCCACCAGCCACTCAATGGAAGAAAGATGGGGCAGTCTGGTTCCGTAAAGATTTACAGCCCTGGAAACCTGGTGGGGGTTGCTATGAGTCAGAATCGACTTAATGACAGTGAGTTTGGTTTGAGAGATTCGTGTTCTGGCCCTATTGCCCCTTTGGCCTCTGTTCTTTGGGTCAATCCCTGGAAGACTACTGACCCTATATGAAAAGGGAGACTGAGGACAAAGGAGGTTTCTGTGGCAAGGAAGTGACTGCATAGGGTTCTTCGGGCTTCCATCTTTAGAGGACTGGATCTCTGTACTGTTTCTCTGCTCCCTTCTGTAAATGGGCACACTCAGGCAAGGCAGTCAAAGGAGGTGCTGTGTCCAAGCTCCACTGCATCTCTTCAATGCAAATTCAGATCCTCTTCTTCCCAGTTCTGAAGCAAAGACCTCCTTGGCTCCAGCCCCAGTAATCAAATACCTCTTCTTACATATCCTCAGACGTGTCTGAGAGGATGAGAAAAGAGATCAATCAGTTTGACAAGGCTCATTGGCCACATCTACTCAAAACTCACTGCCATCAAGCGGGTTCTGACTCATAGAACCCTTCTTTGGGTTTCTGAGGTGGCATCTCTATGGAAGTAGTTTGCCCAGTCTTCCTTCCAAGGAATGGCTGGTGGGTTGGAGTGACTGGTGGGTCTGAACAGCCAGTCTTCTGGTTAACAGTCAAACACACTACAAGTGCACTATGCCACCAGAGCTCCTCATTGCTACATGGGGTTATGGAATGGGGTGGGGTGACCCCACCCCTGGAGCCCAGGCCCTTTTGACACAAGCACATGAAATGTCCAGGTGCTCTAGGACACTTTTCATTTCTGACTAATGTGCAGAACCAGACACCCATGTTCAGGGGGGCAATGCCGTTTCCCAGGAGATGGTAGCGATAATAGGGAGAAGAAAAGAGGGAGAGAGGGGAAGAGGGACAGGGTCAGTTGTAGGAAGTCCAGCCAGATCAGATAGTACCTGCTCTCACCCTTCACACAGCCTCACGCTGCTCCTGCCTGTGGGGAGAGAGATCCCTATCTTCCAGATGTGGCACATCTCTCAGGTCAGCTCCACATCTATAGTGGGAGAGTTCTGGGAAGGTGAGAGGCCAAGGGGACGGGACTCTGTTCAAGGATGGGGAACTGAGTGTGTGGCCAGTAAAGGACGGGAAAATGAGAGGATGGCTTCTGTCCTGTCCTTAGAGGGACAGTTTGTATGGTATGTGTTTGGAGCCACAGCAGAAAAGGGGATACAGGGTAAATGCTAGGGAAAAACTTCCTGCAGGGCAGGAAGAGTCCAATCACAAGAAAAATCTGGGCACAAAAGAAGAATAGTTGCAGCTCTGCCCTCCACCTTGTGGAGGTGGAAGACTGCACAAAAAATGTCCTGGGGAGGAAGAGCTGGCTCTCTCCTGCCCTCCATCAAAGTGACTCAGCCTTTGTTTGTTGAGTTAGCCCTACAGACCTCTGCCCTGACATCAGCCATGGTAACAGAAAGTGATACAAAGTACTTTCACAATCCTTATTACATTGAATTCTTCTGAACCCGTTTTGGAGGCAAGGAAATTAAGGCCCAAACAAGGTAAGGGACCTGCTCAGGGTGAGATGGCAAAAGGGTGGTGGAACCTGAAGTGAAGGTGAGGTGAAGGGTTCCTCCCACGACAGTCTTCAAGCCCAAAGTACCTGCACCCATCCTCTCTGTTTTCCCACCCACCCTTTAGCTACCCACCTTCCCAGAGCAAGGCGCCTGTCTGCTCTGCAGTTTCTGTATCTCCAACTCTCCCAGTTGGTAAACAAAGATGCTACTACCTAGATCTGTGCTAAGACTAGTGGATAAGGACATGGGCTCTGGAGCCAGGCTTCTGGGTTCTTCCCTGACCATTCATATATGGTCCCCACCATTGGGGCCCCATATCTCTGCTTTATTTTTCTTCATAAACCACCAGTGTATTCCACATTTGTTTTTTATTGTCTGTTTCCCCTACTAGATTGTCACCTCTATGGAGCACAGACTGCATCTATTTTGTTTATGGCTGTATCTACCAATGCCTGGTATAACCCCAAAGCCAGACTGGTTGTTGTCAACTCAATTCTGACTCATGGAAACCTCATGTGTGTCAGACTAGAACTGTTCTCCATAGGGTTTTTAATGGCTAGTTTTTAGAAAACTGATCATCAGGGTTTTCTTCTAAGACACCTCTGGGTGGACTGAACCTGCAATCTTTTGGTTAGCAACTTAGTGCATGAACCACTGCATAACCCAGGGGTTGCAATGTCCAGTATAACTCACCCAAACCAAATCCACTGCCACTGAGTTGGTTCTGACTCATAGTGACCCCACAGGACAGAATAGAACTGCTACATAGGGTTTCTAAGGCTGTAATCTTTACAAAATCAGACTGCCATATCTTTCTCCCAAAGAGCAGCTGGTGGGTTCAAACTGCTGAACTTTTGGTTAGCAGCTGAGCACTTTAGCCATTGCACCACCAGGGCCCTAAATACCTAGTAAATGAAAAAAACAAACCCACTGCCACCGACTCAACTCCGACTCACAGTGACCCCTGTGATGCCTGGGATGGATACCTCTAAACACCTGTATTTATCATGCTTGTAAAGTGAAGGATCAAAGAAAAAGGGAAGGCCCTCAACAAGATGGATTGACATAGTGGCTGCAACAATGGGTTCAGGTACAGCAAGGATCGTGAAGCTGGCACAGGACTGGGCAGTGTTTTGTTCTGCTGTACATAGGGTCACTATGAGTCAGATATGACTCGATGACACCTAACAATAAATACCTGTATGAACATTGAATGGGTCTTAGCTTGCCACTTTCCAGTTATGTGACCTTGGGTAAGTTACCAACTTCTCAGCATTTGTTGAGCCCTTACTATTTATTCCATGAGTTTTTTTTTATATAAACTCATTTAAGGTCCACAGCAACTCTCTGAAGTAGTTGCTATTATTTTCCATCATTGACAGATGAGGAAGATGAGGACTAGAGAGTGAAATGACCTGGTTAAGGTAGATGGCTAGGGGCAGAGCTGGGATATCAAAGGCAGATATAGGTGCTTGACCTAGATCTGAATTAATTGCTGGTCCAGGCTGTTCCCCACTTCTGCTGTGAGACTATCCTTTGTTTTCCACACCCCCACACTCCCCATAATTCCTTGCCTATAAAACAGGTTTAATCACAACTCTCCCTCCCTTCCTTCCTCCATTGCTCACTCCCATCACCCACATTGGGTTGTCTCTTCAAGGAGATGACGGGACAAGTAAAATTTGGGTGCTGGGGGCTGAGGGTGAAGTCCAGATCTCACTGAAGTCTTCTTCAGAGGCCTCTTCCCTTTCCCACACTCTTCTAGTCTTGACCTCTCTTTCTGTGAAATGAGGAGGGGGACTCTCAGGCTTAGGGATGGGGGGAGAGAATAGGGAAACCATATGAAGGGATTTCCATTTCTGGAAACACCTAACAGCTAAAAACCACTCAAATTGCTGGATAGAATTTAAAAGTCTCTTTTGAGGCATTGAAGTGGTGTCAAGGTAATAAGGAATGAGTAGGTCAAAATCTGAAGGGGAAGCAGAAGCCAGGAGGTGAGCAGGGCACCAGGACCACTTGTGCCCTGAGGGCACTGGGAAAACCAAGGCATCTGTCTTTCAGTGTTGATGGTTCTCAGAGTAGGGTGAGCCCTGGGCTCACCTGAAAAAGGGAGACAAGCAGGAGATCACCCTTAATGCTAGAACCTCATAGGGCTACACATTTAAACTAAATGCCAGAGGAAACCCTACTCCACCCCCATGGGACTGCAAGGAAAATTGCCTTGGTGCCAAACAGAGCAGGGGAGGAAAGAAAAACAGCCCTTACAGAACTCCAGACACACATCAGCCCAGATTCACTCATTTCACTTGGTGGGGCGGGGGAGGGCAAAAACTCAAGGCCATACTTCTAGAAGGGCCCTCACTTAAGTTCCACAGCAACTCTCTGAAGTAGTTGCTATTATTTTCCATCATTGACAGATGAGGAAGATGAGGCCTAGAGAGTGATATGACACATCTTCACCCCAGGCCTCAAAGAAATCCCACAAATATTTTGCTCAAAATAAATTATGAGCAGTTAACAGCTAAAAATAACTTACCACAGAAGAAGTGATCTAGGGCTTAGGCAGGGTGGTATCTCATAGGTCTGAGCTTTCCCATGTGTAAGATGAGACCTGCTCTCGAAGGTCCCCTCTGGCAAGAGGATTCTCTGGAGGGCCACCTCAGTGAGATAAAGTGTGTCCCCACTTTGTATTCTGAGGGTGTCTTCTTAGAGATGAGCTAGGGGGATGAGTGTATGGACCAGCCCAACCTATGTCCTCCAAAGCACACTAGAAGGAAATGGGCAGGAGGCTGCACCCAGCTACCCATTCTGGAAGAGGGCAGAGAGAGAACGAATGGTGGGAGGTGGTGTCTGATGCCCCACAGTGGGCCTTTGATGTGTGTGTGAATAGGTGGGTGGATGCGGCTGTAACAGAGGCTGTGAAGAAGGAAGCAGGGAGTCCTTGGGGCATCGCCAGTGTTGACCTAGTTGGGCCCCCCATAATTGCTCCCTTCCTCCCTTGGTAAACTACAAATAGGGATGCCGTCTCTTTAGGCTCCTGTAGCTGAAACACCAACCCAGTGGTGAGTACTAGCTGCTTGGGTCTTGCCTTGGATAAGGTGTTGGGGAAATTCAGAGGGCCTCCATTAGTCTGCCTGTCTCCTGGCTCAAAGTCTGGGCATAGGGGCAGAAGGATGACCATAGCAGGGATTGATGGAGTGAGGGAAGTCAGATATGGCAGACTCAGGGGTTCCCTTGGGAAGTGAAAGGCTGTTGGGAAGTTCTGGCTAGGATGTGTGCAGAGCTGCGACCTGGTTGTTGGTGGGGGCAATGTGCTAGAAATTTGGCGTTACCCTCAGTTAGCTTCCTCTCCCTCTTCTTTCTTTGCTTCATTCCTGAGGACAGATTGAGACAGGCCTGGGCTACACAGGGAAGAGAGTATTTCCACTCAGTCTCCAGACACCCAGTTTCAGGAACAGCAAGAGTGGTGGTGCTAGGCAGTCTGGTGGGAGCCCAGAAGGGCATGCTGAGCACCTCTGAGCTTCCCTTAGTCCCTAGGATCATCGTTCCTTTCTCTCTGGGGCTCCTGGACTCCCAGTTGCAATCTCGGGCTGTCACAGAGTTAGAGCCTGGGCAGTTTTTGGCACTACCCTCACCTCCCTGTCACCGACCATCCATGCTGGCTGTTTGTTCCATGGGGCCGACAGTGAGGGAATCATGGAGAAAGCTTTGGTCTTTGCTGCTCTGCTTTGCAGGGTCCCTGGGGGGAGCCAGGAGTGAGTCATCAGGCTCACATGGAAATAACTCTTGCCTTCCTGCTGCCTTAGGGTTTCCCCTAGCTGGAGGCCTCCTCCCAGAAGGATGGTGGGAAGAGGCAGTGGAATTGGGGGAAGATGGGCAAATCCAGGAAGGGGCTTCCCCTCCAACTGAATGGGGCCTTCTATCTTAAGATCCCTGGGTCAGGGAGAAGGCCTCAGAATGGATAGATCAGGGTTTGGTAAATGCTGGAGCTGGACATCTGGGTCATATCTCTGACCATGCATGTGTATCTTGTTTTACAGATAAGGCACTTGAGATCCAGATAGGATAAATGGCCTATTATCACAGTTAGAGAGGCAGAGAGGATTTGCATGCAGCTTCCTTGAGTTGGAGGGAGGAGGGACCCTTAGGAGAGTGATGGTAAGGCAGCAGGGGCTCACTCAGACTTGACTCTCTTGCTACTGCTTCTCCAAGAGCCTGAGGACAAAGCAGTGCTGGGTGAGGGTCTCCATATGCAAGTTCTTAGGAAGAAACTCTGGGGTCCTGAGGGAGAAGACTTCTATGCCATTGGCTGCGTCTCATGGGGTGGTACGAAGTGGGACTGGGCCCCTCCTGGATGTTGGGGACTGAGAAAAAATGGGAGAGAATCAGAGAGTTCTCGGGGACCACCCAGGTGGGTGGAAGGGTGGGGGAGACATTCTGTCCTTGAGGGGTTTTCAGTGAAATGAGGGAAATGAGACTTCCATCCAGGAAAATAACACTCAGGGGGAACAGTGAGATAAATTAGGAGGGGCTGGTCAGAGAAGATTAAGATGGTCCCGGAGCAGACTCTGGGGAACATGGAGGGCACTTTGAGCAGGGAGGCTGGCCTGGACCTTTGCCATGAGTCACACTCTTGTTCTATGACAGTGAGGATGGCTAGACCCCTGGAGCAGGCAGTGGCTGTCATCGTGTGTACCTTCCAGGAGTATGCGGGACGCTGCGGGGACAAGTACAAGCTCTGTCAGTCAGAGCTGAAAGAGCTGCTACAGAAGGAGATGTCCAACTGGACCCCGGTGAGCATTCTGAGCACCCCCCAACCCAGCTGGGAGATATTGCTTAGACTTAATAAGGAGAGACTCTGGGACAAGCACGAACAAAGGACAGCAGGAGGGGTGGAAGCTACAGTGCATGGAGTTGACAAGGAGGGGACTGACATGGCAGAAACCTCAGTTTCCTCATCTGTAAAATGGGAAGATAATCATCACACTTGCTACCTGTATGGTTGTTGGAAGGATTGAGTAATCGCATCATGAGGGATGTCTGGCACATAGTAGCAAATAGTAGGTGCTCAATGAATGATCTGAGAAGGAGGATTTGGGAAGGGAATTGAAATAGATGCATTATCAGAACAGGTAGGCTGAGGCTGAAGGGGTGGGTTGGGATGGGGTGAGACCAATTAGGAGGGGCAGGAGGAAAGGAGTGTGTGAAGCTGTTTGATCCTCCTCAGCTTGCTCTTCTGACCCCTCCCTTGCACAGACTGAGTTTCGGGAGTGTGACTACAATAAATTCATGACTGTTCTGGACACCAACAAGGATTGTGAGGTGGACTTTGCAGAATTCGTGCGCTCTCTTGCCTGCCTCTGCCTCTACTGCCACGAGTACTTCAAGGATTGTCCCCTAGAGTCTCCCTGCTCCCAGTAGCTGCTGCTTCCAGAGGGATGGGCTGGCCTGGAACAGCAGGGTCTGCTCCATCTGTCCCTGAAGTAGACCTGGGCAGGTCATCATATCTTTCCCTGCCCTTTCCCTTGTACCCCTCTCAATGTGGAGTTCCCCAGATTCACCCTGATGTTGACCCATTTTGCCCAGGAAGCCCAGAGACATAGGAGAGGACCTTCCCAAGGATGCACAGCTGATGAGGAGTAGTGCTGCAACTGGCTCCATCCTGCCCTCTGAGGCCTACACCTCCTACCAGGGCCTGTGGTCCAGGATGGGAAGAGGTGGGGGTCTGTTCTGAGGAAGTTATGGCCCAACAGAGTGTGGACACATGAGACCCTGGATGGAAAAGAGTCTATTAACTCCTAATAAAAAACTGGCATCAGCTGAGCTTGGTTTGGTTCTTCTGAGAGGACTTGCTGGACTTGGGACAGAGTTCTGTTGAGATCTTTTTTTCCCCTATTTTCTGGTCTTTTCCACTGGAGAAAAGGAGGCTAAGGGGAGGATCCCTGAGCTCCCAATGGACCCTGAGGGTAGTTTCTGACCTCACAGAAATGAAATGGGCTCAATGGTCTAGCAGGAGGGGTGGGATCACACACAGAACTTCAGTCCTGGGAACACCTGAGAGGCTCTTTCTCTCTCTGGATTTTTTGACAGAGAAACCCCCTTGGGCTGTCATGAAGGGTGGGACAGCAGCCTAAGTTTCCTTGGGGACCACAGAGCTGAACTCGGCCCAGTCCTCGTGACAGGATGTTCTGAGAAGGGTTGGGTTGTGTGTGGGGGTAGATGGGGTATTGGGAGGGGTGTTTATTCCCTGCCCTGGACTGTGGGAACTCAGAGGGCAGAAGTAATAGGATTAGGGGTGTCTGAGGTGTCTGCTCCTAGCCTTAGAGGGATGGCCTGATCTGGAGGGGAAAGGGATACTTTGAGGAGAGTCTCTCCTGAGGCCATAGCCACCTCTATCCCAAGCTCATACCCCACCCTAGGACCTCAACCTTAATACCTACTTGACTTCCCCATTTTGTACCATCTCACTTCTAGTTCTCCACCTCAACTTGAATTCTTCATTCCTGACACTTATTAAAACTCTCAACTCCCCCTCCTGACAGCCTATCCCAAACCTCCAGCACCATCACTGTCTTACCCAGGACCTTTCTCCACATACATTCTTGAGGCATTCCTAGAACCTCCTTTGGGTTAGCCCATTCCCCCTCCTGACCTCTGACTCCCTGACCCCCACCTCACTCAACCTGGCAGAGCCCCCTTTGTGGGGGGGGAAGAGGGAGCTGTCCCAGTACTGGGACCCTTGGTTTCTGAGCAGCCAACCACCCTTAGCTTTCCTACTGCCTGGTGGGACTATGCCCTCTCTGTCCCCTACATGCTAGGCACAGATGGCCCTTCCCTCCAGCTTTCTAAAACTTGGGGTGAGCTCTACACAATGGGTGGTGCCCACCCATGGAGGTCCCTGCCTGCACCCACTGTGCTCATCTGCCTACTGTCTGTGTCTGCTGAGAATGGGAAGCTCAGTTTTCAGGCTGGGCTTGTTGAAGGGGCTGTGGCACTTACCGCATCAACCCACAGTAAGGGTTGTCTCTGCTCTCCCCCATCCCCTGCCATGGGCAGGGCCTGGCCAGGGTATAAATAGGTCAGACCGCTGGGCTTCCCCCATTTTTCTCTCTCCCCGATCTTCTCTCTCTCCCCAGCGCTTCCTCTCTCTTGGTCTGGTAAGTTGTGGTCACCTGATGGCATGCAAGGGGTGTCAGGCCAAGGCTCTGGGACAGGAGAAGGGGAAGTGGGTGGGGGCCAGATGTGCTAAATGGATCCAGATGAGACATTCAAATGGAGGCTCTGGGGGTGGGATGTATGTGTTTGTGTGGGTGTAAGAGAGGTAAGCAAATACACAGCAAGAAGCGTGGAGGTGGCTGGACTTGAGTTGTCTGAGGGGTACTGAGAGGCTGAGGCAACATAGATTGTTGGCTGCAGTGTGTTCAGTGTGTGTGTGACAAAGTGTATGCACATTGGCTTGTGTTTGCTGGGTTGCACAAGACTGTGTACACACTCCAGCACGGTAAGCAAAGTGGAGGCAGAAAGCAACTGTGATGTCCTGTGAGCCCTGCAAGGAACTGTGTAGCCCTGGGCTTCCCCTCCTTGCCCCCAATCACTGTGCCACCACGTCCTGCCCCGCCCTATGCCAGGCACAAAGCGGCTGGTTTTTTTCCGCTGCAGGGCCCTGGGCAGGCTTCCATGGGCTGCACCCAGCTCTGGGAGCAAGAAGAATGGGCTGGGGCGGGGCAACTGTGGGCTGGCTGTGGGAGTGAATGGACTGAGTGAGCTGTGGAAAAAGTGCTGTTATTGAGGCACCGCCCGAGGGAGGCCCAGGAAGCTTTGTTTGAATCTCCAGAGCCAGTGCAGTGGGTTGTGCACATGTTCATCACTCAAAGTTTGTGTTTCTCACTCCACATGTCCACCTCCAACCCCAGGAGCTGAGCCCACCTTCCTGGGCTTCCCCAGCCATGGAAGCAGAGTCTTGCCAAGGAGTCCCTGAGGAATGGGGAGTGGGGTGGGGCACAGTGGGCACATAGTTGGGGGTGAGTTAGATAAGGGTGCCTTTGTGACTCCCCCCACCCCCAGATCCTGACTGCCACCATGGCACATCCCCTGGAGAAGTCCCTGGATGTGATGGTGTCCACATTCCACAAGTACTCAGGCAAGGAGGGTGACAAGTTCAAACTCAACAAGTCGGAGCTAAAGGAGCTGTTGACCAGGGAGCTTCCCAGCTTCTTGGGGGTGAGTGGGTGTCATCTGGGAGGATGCCCTCAAGAGGGGTTTCCACAGAGGAAGGCCAAAGCCCTGGGAGTCATGGGTCTTTTGTAGAACATTAGATTGGTATCTGTCATTGGAAGTGGGAGACAGGGCAGAAAGCTTGCATTTGAATGCCTAGGGTAAAAACACAGTGAACACTCTCCCTGACTTACCGGCCCCAGACAGGAAGCAGACTGAGAATGAACAGTGAGATGATGGGCCAGACCCTGTGTACTTATTATATAACCCAAATGGAGGGAAAACTGAAGCTCAACAAGGCCAAATAACTTCTCAAGTGCATAAAACTGAGATCTGAACAGAGACTGAGTCTTCCCACCACTTTAGTAATAGATAATGTTTGAGTTTCTATTTGTCCTGTGAATGTGAAGACTCAGTTATGGAGAAACTCATACCCTTAAAATCTTCCCCATTTGTATAAAACTTTATATGGTTTATATATTGTTTTCATTACCATTACATAATTGGAATATTTTTTTAATTTTAGTGAAAATACACATAGCAAAATATAGCCAATTCAACAACGTCTACATGTATAATTCAGTGACATTGATTACATTCTTCAAGTTGTGTGACCATTCTCGCTATCTTTTTCCAAAATATTCTACCACAATTAACGTTAACTCAATGCCCTCTATTATGTTATGTTATGTTATGTGCTGTTGAGTCGGACCCAACTCATAGCAACCCCTCCTTGGGTTTCCGAGGCAGTATCACTATGGAAGTAGCTTGCCCCATCTTCCTTCCGAGGACTGGCTGGTGGTTTGAACCGTCAGCCGTCTGGTTAGCAGTCAAATGCCTTAGGCACTATGCTACCAGAGCTCCCCAATGCCCTCTAAGCAAAACTAATTGGATTTTTAAAACAATGTTAGGAGAAGATGTTGTGGCCCGTTTTCAACTGATGGCACCCAGGTACACAGTGAACTCTTTTTCATCCAAAGCACACCCTTTCCTGCTGTAACCCTGATGGTTGGAGTTCCAAAGGTTGGCCTATGTAAACCTCTGGAGTTCTGGGCTAGAGGTGGAAACCTGGTTCTAGTCTTGGCTCTACCATCAGGCTTTAGTTTTCTACTCTAGCCTCTTCTCCCTCCAGAAAAGAAGAGATGAAGCTGCATTCCAGAAGTTGATGAGCAACTTGGACAGCAACAAGGACAATGAAGTGGACTTCCAGGAGTACTGCGTCTTCTTGTCCTGCATTGCCATGATGTGTAATGAATTCTTCGAAGGCTTCCCTGATAAGCAGCCCCGCAAGAAATGAATGCTCCTCATATGGGGTCAGGGGCTCTGTTGGCTGAGGTCTCTCCTGATCCTCCTCCAGACATGTGCATGATGCTGACCAAAATTCAATAAAGATTCTTGAAAACTATAAGGCTGCTGGTCTGAGAGACTCAGGGCTGAGGGAGAAGCCAGGGGTGGGGTGGTGGTGGGGAATGCTGACAGTTGGGCTGCAGTTTTGTAGGGAACAGACTGCTGAAGATGGGGGAGGAATGTGGGGTGACTGAGGGTGTATACTTATATATGGGAGGGGACAGAGTTGACTCTGGATGGGGCTGAAGCAAGGAAAGGGGTCACCAGAGACTTGGAATGCCTAGCTGTGGGATCTTAGCCAGCCCACTCTCCTTTCCCACCTCACTCCAAACTTGCCTCTGGCAGGACCTCTCACAAGCTGGGATGGATTTGAAGGTCACATCTGCTCCTGGTTGGGGTCTGGAAAAGAGGTTGGGTGTTCTGGGAGTAAGGAGTGGGGAAAGGGAATAATAGGGTTGAGTCATGGAGAGAGAGTAGTGAGGCCAGGGTGTGTGTGGGGGGTAGGTCTGCCCCAGAGCCAGAGTGGGCTGAGGAGGAGGGCTCGCTCTCAGGGCTGACATTCACAGTCCACTGACTTCCATCTAAGGAGTTCTAGTCTTAAGGCACTTGGCTGCTAACCAAAACGTTGGTGGATTGAATCCACCAGCTGCTCTGCATCTGTAAAGATTTACAGCCTTGGAAACCCAATGGAGGTTGGAATCCACTTGATGGCAGTGAGTTTGGTTTGAATTTTTTCCTCCAAACTACAGGGATGGATTAATAGTTTGCTGCTCATGGTTGGATCAAGGAGAGTGATATGGAGGGAGATAGGGCTATTTGCAGCAGCATGAGAATATGGCTATTCTCCAACTCATTGTCCCGTGGGATGAGATCTGTTACCAATTACACATCACGTGCTTCCAGAGAAGGACAAGAGGGCTTTGAAAGGAAGAGTGGAGAACGGTGGCTAGGGTGGGAGTGAGGGAGATGGTGGGGAAGTGACCATATTTTTTGAAAGAAAATTCTGGACATATGATTAAATAAATGACATTGAGATTTCTTTTTCACCCAGAAAATATCAGCATGATGTTGCTTTGCTTAGGATAAGTTAAAGATTGGTGAGTTCCAGTGTGTACTGGGCAAGATTGAGGTTAGATCTCAAGGATATACCTGGATGATATGGTAAACCTTGAAGGAACAGAAGAGTAGAGGTCAGGTTCACAGGCAGAGTTTTTGGTCCCCTTGACTTCTCAAGCTTTTCCTTCTTCCACTCATTACGCAGTGTTTTCTCCTAAGTTTCATAAGTGTGCAGTAGGTGACTCAGATGTTCCCTCAGAGTTTGGCCACAGAGATTTGGGTAGAACATTGGTCCAGGAAAAAGTTTGCCTCCTCTTCCTTCTGTCTCTTCTGCATCTCCTGTACCCGCCCCTCAGCTGGTCTGCCCATCTTCCATGGGACTGCCCTCCCCTGAGCCTCCTCCTGCATCACTCTCTACTTTGGAAAGTCCTGTTGCTTAGCAACAAGTCCTTGCTACCTTTCTAGCTCTGCCAGCTGGGGGTGAGAATACAGTGTGTGGGGGGGAGCAGTGGGGAGAATGCAGGCAGGCTAGGGTGATGCTAGGAGCTCTGGTAGAGTAACGCCTAAGGCACTTGACTGCTAACCAGAAGGCTGGTGGTTCAAACCCACCAGCCACTCCTTGGAAGGAAGGTTGGGCAATCTACTTCCCTAGTGATACCACCCTGGAAACCCAAGGAGGGGTCGCTATGAGTAGGGTCCGACTCGACGGCACATAACAACAACAACAACAACAGGGTGATGCTGCAGCAACCACTGGCTGCTAAGCCCTTAACTTGGTTATATTCTCATACTCCAACTTGTTGGTAGTAGAACCGTGTCTGAGTCTTTCCTGGGATGCAGGCAACTCTCTCTTCTCTCAACCTGATCCATGACTGCACCCCAAACCTGAACTCTACTCCATTGCCAGGTCCTAATCCTTCCCTGAATCCCCTCCCCAATTCCTGCTTCTCAGTTTTTCATTCCAAGGGTCTCCAATAATTCTTCCCTATGAACATCAATGAGGTTTAGAATAAATCATTTATTTAAAAACACCTTAAAAATCTTTGGCTCCGTACTAGCCAATGACCTTGACCAGGCCCTGGGCAGGAAATATCTTCCTTTACTGATCCCTATCTCTAACTACTGTGCTGTTGGGGTGGGTGGGAGTGTCCCAGTGTGGATAGTGATCTAAGGCATAGGAGATACCCTGTGTTCGACCCACACATCATCTGGGTTTTCTTTCCAAGCAGCCTGACTTCCTGTATTATGCCCAGTTGTCCTATCAGTGAGTTATGATTTTTGGGCTGGAAAATGTTTCTGGGACTGAAGATGTGTGTATCATGCCGAATTCAGTGTGCCTTCATCCTCTCTGTTTGTAAACAAGGAAGATAAGATAGGCAGAAGGGATTTCTCTTCACTTCCATCCCAGGAGGCTCTGACTTGGGCCTCCTCATGTCCCTGATCTCTTCTCATTGGCCTTTTCTTGTCCCTGGTTTCTTGAGGCCTGGAGCAAGAGAATAAAGGCAGAGAGTAGTGGGACGGGACCTGTTTCTGCTGCTAGGATTCTCTGGGCTTGCTCCTTCCTTTGGTGAGTTCTTCTCATCTCCCTGTTTATCAGGTGGTGCAAGCTTGGTAATGAGGTTAGAGGGTGACAAGCTGTGTGACCCTCCACAAAGGGAGGTCTGGCTTGATGAGTGGGTTTGTGCTCAGAGAGGAGTGGGCAGAGTATGTAGAATTGTAGAACTGTGGTTATCAGAACTTTCCTGAGAAATGCTCTGGGGGTGGAAGTGGGGATCAGAACCAGCCAGGATGTTCCTGCAGATATAGAGTCCCTTGCCTCTGACTGAGGTTCTGGCTGATTCTCCCTGAGGTGAGGAGAAGCTGAGGTTTCTAGGTGGTGGGAGGTAAATGACTGGTCTGGGTCAAGAATTGTGGATGGACTTTAGGCTAGGGGTGAGATCTAACAGCTTATTCCTTCGTGCTCAGGATCCTCCACAGGACTTACCTACAGCCCCCAAGTTCTTTAGGTGTTATCTTCTCCCTCCCCAAGGAAGTGGTTTTGAAGTCTGAGTCACAGGAGCTCAAGCTTCCTCTTCCCTTGGATGGAGGTGGCTGTGCTGGTGGAATTGAGGGCCTCAGTTAAGCCCAATACTGGATCCAAGTCTGAGAATGATCTTGGAGAAACCATAAGCCTATCCCCAGGCCTCTTGGCCAGCCCATATGTGTGCAGTTCTCTGGGCTCAAGATTGGAAACCAGTTGGGCAAGCCCAATAGCCTCTCCCTCGCTTCCTGCTGAGACCTTATCTCCCCATTACAGCTTCAGCCCCAGCCCCTTCCAACCCCTGGACTATCTTTTTGCCCTGTCCCTCACTTCTATAATGGGACACTCCCTAATATCAGGTCATTCAGGCACTAGGGCAAAGGAGGATGACTAGGGTGCTGATTGCCTCTGGAAACTGGTGCTCAAGCTCAATGGGGTGGAGAGAAAATCCTGAACTTTTATGTGCTCCACCATCTGTCACCAGTTCTTTTCAGGGAGGTCACTGTGTCATTCCTTGGCCCCTAGTCCCTTCTTTCAAACATCTCCTATGCAAGAGAGTCTGCAGTCTCCTTTGATAACTGGCCAGTTGCATTGCTCTGGCTGCCTTAGTCTTGTCATAGCCTGACTTGATGTATCTGAGTCCACTTGCTGCTGGACCTTGGTCTTAGCATAGGCTCTAGCCACTGGTCCTTTGAGGGAGGGTCTTACAGGTGGGCTGGTGATGGAGGGAAGCACTAGATCTGGTTTCCTGATGAATGTGATCTTTCCTTCACTCTCCAGAACTGCAAACTGTGATGGAGACTCCTCTTGAGAAGGCCCTGACTACCATGGTCACCACTTTCCACAAATATTCGGGGAGAGAGGGCAGCAAACTGACCTTGAGCAGGAGGGAACTAAAGGAGCTGATTAAGGAAGAGCTGTGTCTTGGGGAGGAGGTAAGTGACTGTCCCCTCACACCTTCACTCTAAAGTCTGGGTGATTTCTGTGGGCAGCCTGAGGGAGAGGAGACAAAAAAAAAAAAAAAAAAGAAAAAGAAAAAGGGAAACACTAATCCCACTGCCTGTAAGGCAGGAGGCCTAGCCTCTGTCTCCACAGGGATCCAGTTTGAAGATATACCCATTCCTGCCCTCAGGGTTCTCGAGTCTAAGGCAGAACAGAATGGCAGAAGGGTATGGAGAGAGACAGAGGAAGAGAGTGGACATCTTGGGCCAACATAGCTCTAAGTTTCTGTGCTAGAGATGGCTTAGGGTTTCACTGGGAAGGAGGAGGGGTTGTGTCTGGAGGGTGGGGCTACACCTGTGTGAGGGTTTAGGGAAAGAGAGCAAGGATTCTGGGGTGGTGGGGCCAGGCTGCTCAGTGGTTAACAGAACCTGTGATCATGGGGGATGAAGAGATGCATGGTGTCCAGGTTGAGTTGTGCATAGCCCAAGGGCAGGAACCTGTCTCAGTCTCCTCAGTGTTCCTAGAACATCCAGGGCTCTCAGATGGTGTTGACCTGGGATCCTAAGGAGACCAAAACCCACTGTCATCAAATTGACTCATAGTGATCCTATAGGACAGAGTAGAACTGCCTCACAGGGTTTCCAAGGCTGTAAATCTTTACAGAAGCAGACTACGTTGTCTTTCTCCAGTGGGTCGGCTGGTGGGTTCGAACCACCAGCTTTTTGGTTAGCAACTGAATGCTTTAACCACTCACCACCAGAGCTCCTTCCCAAAAGGATGTTGTTGTTGTTGTTATTTGCCATTGAATCAGCCCTGACTCATAGCGACCCCTCCTTGGGTTTCCGAGGCAGTATCACTACAGAAGTAGGAATGCCCAACCTTCCTTCTGAGGAGTGGCTGGTGGGTTTGAACCGCCAGCCTTCTGGTTAGCAGTCAAGTGCCTTAGGCACTATGCTACCAGAGCTCCTAAAAGGGATAGTCCTGCTAATTAGTGAACATAGGGCAGGAAAGCAACAGAACTGATTCTAACCAGATGGAGATGGTGGGAGGGAGGTGCTGACAGAGGGGGAGGACCATGAGGTAGACATATGATTATTATTATTTTTTTAAAATATTTTATTGCATTTTAGGTGAAAATTTACACAGCCAATTCTGTTCCCCTTTATCAATTTTTATACAGATTATTCCATGGCATTGGTTAGTTTTCCCAATGTGCCCATATTTTCTTAGTTCCACTCTGTTCCATTTCTGTTAATCTAGCTTTCCGGCCGCTCCTGCCATCTCGTCTTCTCTTCTGGGTAAATGTTGACTGTTGGGTCTCATTGTTGATGGTTTAAGGGAGCACATTACTCACAGCTGATAGTTTATTTTATGAGCCAATCTGTTATTTGCCTGAGAGATCACCTCCAGGAGTGGCTTTAGTTCCAGGTTCAAAGGGTGTCTTAGGAAGACAGTCTTGGGGGTTGCTTTCATCCCTGTTAGGAATTTGAATTTGGTTCTACATTTTTCTCCTGTTCCATCTGTGACCTCCTATTGGGTCCCTGGTCAGGATGGTCAGCAGTGGTTGTTGGGTACCATCTAATTCTTCTGATCTCAGGGTAGATGAGGCTATAGTTCCTTAGACATATTATTTTTAAAGTTAAGAAAATTGATAGTCAGATAATGTCTTAGTTACATAGTGCTGGTATAACACAAATACCACAAGTTAGTGGCTTTAAAGAATAGAATTAATTTTCTCACAGTTCTAGATGCTGAAAGTCCAAATCAGGGTCTCAGTCATGTTAATTTCTTTCCTTGTTAGTAGCCCTGTGTGTTCCTGGGTTCTTTGATGCTCCCCACATGGCATCTATCTTCTCCTGTGTACGTGAGTGGTTCTGTGTCTAATGTGCTCTTGTTATAACTCAAGAGTCATTAAATTCAAAACTCCCATATTTGAGTGCATCTAATTAACAGAACAAAGAAGATTCTATTTCCAAACAGGATTACATCTACAGGCAGAGGGGTTAGGATTCTAATGCACATTTTTCGGGGGACATGATTCAACCCATAACAGATACATCATTATATACAGTATTCAAGGACACTTGGGTAACGAGAGGCTGAGCTGGAATTCCAGGCCAAGCCTATGCATCACCCTCGCTTTTCCTTTTCACATTCAGCCTGGGGATCTCTCCCCACATCCTGAGTTTTGTAGACCTCTAGAGAGAAGCTCTCCAGAGTATGTTTCCATGGGCAGGGGACTAAAGCTAGTGTCTCCAGGCTTGCTCTCTGGTCTTCCTGCCAGATCTTTGCATCCTGGAGTTAATGAGGACAGTGGGAGGGGCCATGGGCCCAGGAGGGGTTCATTACAGGGTGCAGAGACCTGGGGAAGGACCTTGTTATAGCCAGAGCACAGGCTGGGGAAAAGATCACGTCACAGCGTGCTGTTTCCATCTCTATGTCCCGACATTCTGTCTCCTGTGGAAAACCTGAAGTTGAGGGCAAGATCTGCCTGTCTGTACTTTCTTCCTGTTCCACCTGAAGGCCCTGTATCCTGGTGGATAGGAAGGCAGGGGCCCAGAGGTACCACCTCCATACCAGCTCTCGTGCAAGTTCAGAGGGAGGGGTGGCTTCTTAGCTTCAATGCACTGTTCTCATGGAGAGATTTCTTGTCTGGGTCAATTCTCTTATGCCTTAAAAGGGGGACAAAATAAGTCAGAGACTAGGGTAATTTCCAGTGCCACATACCTAGTGCCATTTTTTATTAGATGCTGGTATAAAATCTGTATTATATCTTTGAATGGAGAAAGATATTGAAGGATAGGGTGGCTAGCTTTGCCTTCTTATTGTAATTTATTGAGAGTCAACTCACTGAGCCCTACTTGGTGCCAGTCCTGAGCTGGGTGTGGGCTATAGGGAAGACTCTGGGGTTGGGGTGCATGCAGTGCTGGTCACTTGCTTGGGGATCATTGATGAATGAGGCCATACAGTGGTTGGACTGGTCTGGGAGGGGTTGCTAAGCTATCCCTCCATTTGGACCCTTCCAGAAGATGAAGGAGAGCAGCATTGATGACTTGATGAAGAACCTGGATAAAAACAGCGACCAGGAGATCGACTTCAAGGAGTACTCGGTGTTCCTGACAACACTGTGCATGGCTTACAACGACTTCTTCCTGGAGGACAACAAATGACTGGGCTCCCTCTGCCCTACCTGTTGCCCCCATGTCCCTGGCCTCTGCTGCTCCACTCACAGACAAACCCTCTTTAGATCCTGCCCTCCTCTTCCTCCCAGATGGACACTGCTCCAGCATCCCCTTCCAGCAGAAGAAATAAAGATTTTCCATTCCAGGTGTTTGGAGATTGGTTGTGAAGGTGTCTTGTCCACCTTGGCTGGGAAGGGCCGGGCTTCTCCTTGAGTGGGGCTGAGCTGGCCTCTGGGGGTCTCCCACCTCATTTCCTATTCTTCTTGCGTGTGGAAATCACTGAGCTTGTCCTGGCTTAGTTTTGCTTCCTGCAAAACTGGGAAGTTGGGTCAGACTTCTGTTTGCCTCCCACAAATGCTGCAAAAATGCAGAGAGTGCTGAGAGGAAGTGCATGGAGAAAGAGGGCAATGGGGCTGGTTGGGGTGTGGTTCCTGGGGGCAGTGATGGGTAAGCCGGTCTGACTTCTCTGTAGCTCACACAAGGCCATCCTGGCAACACTGGCTAAAAGGGGAAATCTGGCCTGCCTACCATGTTAGCCCCTTTCCCTCTTAGCAGCCCCTCCCATCGTCTCTGGGATCCAGTGTGTCTTGCTCTCTCCCCACCTGCCACTATCAACTCTTTTCTCAGGAGAGGATCTGAGAAAACTATTTACTTGAGGGGAATAACCAGTGGGCTAGTTATTCAAAGGTTCAAAGGGCCTGGCTCAGGCGGGTGTGCACATTAATGGGCAAGAGGCTCTAAGGGTGGAGTTTCAGGCCTTAGGGGGAAGGGAGTAAGGGTGCTGGTAGGGATTGGTCGGTGGGGTATGAGTGCTTCTACACAGCCTTTAAATAAAATCCTGCGGATCAATGGCTGTGCCCTTCTCCCCCATCTAAGGTTGACTCTGAACACCCTCTGGGGGGCACCAGCTCCACTCTCCTCCCCCCTGCTGCCCCCACCCACACACTGGCGCTAGGCTTGGGGACACACACTCTCTGGCACTCAGACAGCTGAGGTAGAAGCACCATGAGACTGCCCTGGTCCCCTTGCCCTCCTCTGCTTCACCCCGTGTCATCACTGCAAACTGAGCTAGGACAAAGAGGTGAAGTTCTGGGTCACTTTGCTCATAGAGGTCTCCACTAGACGCCCCTATCCTTCTACAACCCGCTACTACCCACGTCCCAACCCGGAACCGCCCCAGGGCAGGAGGCGTGGAAAGTTGGGGGGAAGCGGGAGTGTGTGGTGTTGTGTAAGCCAGCCGCAAAGGGTGGGGCTGGCGCGGGGCGGGCCGGACGCGCGGGGTGGGCTTTTGCCGGGCCTGCCTCCGGGCCTGTGTCCGCTATAAGGCTAGCCTGGCTGCGACAACGCCCATCCCCTCCACCGCTCCCTTTGCGCGTTGCTGCATCCGTACGGTGAGTTCTCACCGGGCTGGCCCAGCCTCGGGCCAGGGGCCCAGGTACCCCTTTCCCAGGTTGGCCGCGGTGGGCTCTGGGGGCTGCAGACTGCGCTTGCATGGAAACTTGGCCCATCTGTGGAGGCCCTGAGGGACGGGAAGAGTCTGGAGCGGCGAGGAGTGCCAGGCTGGCCCTGGGCTAAGGCATTCGAATCAGGCCTCTCCCCTGAGTGTGCCCTTCTGGTGTGCGGGAGGGTGTGTCAGCGGGTGTGTCAGCGTCACTGTGTGTGGCCCTGTGAGGCTCTGCATGTGTGGCTGTGTGTGCAGTCCCCCTCTGCCCCTTCCTCCATCATATTCCCCAGCTTCCCCTGGAACCCCGGGAGGACAGGTCTCAGCTGTGCCCAAAGATACCGGTCCTGTTTGTTGCTTGGAATCCTTAAACTTCCTCTCCTCTTCTGTCTGGGACTCCTCAGGGCACTGATCTCTTGAGCCTAGGGTCTGTCCTCTTCTTCCCCCTCAAGCCCTAGGCTGCCTCCTTATGCTACCTGTCTATGGCCTGAGCCTCAGTGATTGACGTAGAGTGGTCAAAGGGAGTGAGTGTGAGCGTATGTGTGTGTGTATTGGAGACAGAACTCTTCGTGTGCATGGGGGAGTGAGAAAATCTTGTTGTACATGGCCTAGCCTCTTGGACACTGACCAGCTCCTCTGTCTCCAGCTCTGAAACCAGCCCTCAACCATGGCATGCCCCTTGGACCAGGCTATTGGCCTCCTTGTGTGCATCTTCCACAAATACTCTGGCAAAGAGGGTGACAAGAACAGCCTGAGCAAGAAAGAACTGAAGGAGCTGATCCAGAAGGAGCTTACCATTGGCTCCGTGAGTGGGCCTCCTCCCCAGATGCCTACCTCTTGCCCTTTAGAAACAGAATAAGGAGAGGGGGAGGTTCCAGGTGCATCCCATTCACATCTGTACACATTTTGGGCAACTGCCCCTGGTCCCTTCCTAAGGGTGGACCCACTCCCCTGAGGGGGTGGAGAATACTCTCAGGCTGGTATACACTCCCCCTAAGCTGAAACAAGGGAGCTCTGGTAGCATAGTGGCTAAGACACTTGCCTGCTAACCAGACGGCTGGTGGTTCAAACCCACCAGCCACTCCTCGGAAGGAAGGTTGGGCAATCCTACTTCCATAGTGACTGCCTCGGAAACCCAAGGAGGGGTCATTATGAGTTGGGTTTGACTCGACAGCACATAACAACAACAAGCAGAAACAAAAGGAGTTCTGGTGGCATAGTGCCTAAGGCATTTGACTGCTAACCAGAAGGTTGCTGGTTCAAACCCACCACCACTCTGGGGAAGGAAGACTGGGCAATCTACTTCTGTAAAGGTTTACAGCTTCGAAAACCCAATGGGGGGTCACTATGAGTTGGGTTTGACTGGATGGCAGTGGGTTTAGTTTTGATTTTGATTTTGAAGCAGGAGCTAGGAGAAATAAACCCAAGAAGACACTAAGGTGGGTCATTAGTGACTAGTGAGCATAAACCACTTGTATGAGAGAGCCTGGGAGGGGGGACTGTAGGGAGATAGATCCCCAGAGGGAAGGCATCTGAAAGGGAGAAATCCAGGGTTCTCACCACTATTCAGCTGGATTTTCCATTCTAACACTTTAGAAGCTGCAGGATGCCGAAATTGCAAGGCTAATGGATGACCTGGACCGGAACAAGGACCAGGAGGTGAACTTCCAGGAGTATGTCACCTTCCTGGGGGCCTTGGCTATGATCTACAATGAGGCCCTCAAGGGCTGAAAATAAATTGGGAAGGTGGAGACACCCTCCTGGGGGCCTGTGTGAGTCAAATCCAGTGGTGGGTAATTATACAATAAATATATGGTTTTTTTTTTTTTCTTTTTTGTCAAATCTACACCTGTGTCCTGGCTTTCCAATTATTTCTGCTTTCTCCTTCTGCATGATGCTAGTCAGAAGGTTTACTCACAGTCAACCTCTGAGGATGACTCCCAGGCAGGAGAATGGTGGGAGAATCCACAAGATGGTGGCCTCTCCCTGACAAGGCTGCTGCTAGCTCACAAGGTGAATTAGAAAAAGATGCCCCTTCTATGTGTAGCCATCTTAAGGAAAAGCACAAACAGTCCCCAGCAGAAAGGTCTGTGGCAAGCTTAGTGAAGGAAATGGTACCTGGGTGGGCTGTCATGGGGGTCAGGGTCCCTAGAAGTGTGACAGAGATACCTTCCAGCACTTTCTGGGAAGAGGTGAGTTTTACTCTGGGTGTGGTGAGAGGAGGAGGGCCAAATGGGCCCTGGGGTAGGGCTGGTCCACTTTCTCACCACAGTGAAGGAAGGGCAGGGAGGTACATCTGAGATACCCATGGCCTGGCCCCAGGAGCTTTGAGACCAATGAGGACACTGCACAACTGAGTTTATTCTGGTTGTCCATGTCCCAGCTGGAGGTAGAGGCAGCAGACATTAGGAGTCTGTCCCTGCACTCAAGGACAAACTGTTTTTTACTGGGGGGAGGTGGTCTGAGGTGCTGGCAGCTAGAGGAACATGTAATCATGGGGTGCTTACAAATGGGGCTGGGTGAGGGCCCCTGGAACTGGGCCAAACTCAGTTTCAAGTCTTTCAGTCAATATTGACCCAAACCGGCTGGGCAGCCTCAGCAAATGAATCATCCCAGTTAATTCCACTGCTTGGCCCTGGGTCCCCTCCACTGCCCCTCCCCCAGAAGATGACTAATTGTCTACTTTACTGTTCCTTGTCTGAATTAGTGTCTTCAGGCAAGAGGGAGAGTAAAGCAAAGGGGATAAATTTTGCTTCAGGGCCAAGAGGCATTTGCCTCAGCACTCCTCTCCTCTCCTGCCTCGTTGGAGCTGGGCAAGTTTCTCTCTAGGTTCTGGGAGAAGAGGTCTGGACTTGAGATGGAGATCACATCCTCTTCTCTGTGGCTTTCCTTAGGGCCCAACTTTGTAGAGTTAAGTCTCTTCCTCCTTCAGTACTGCTCGGAAGGAAGAGTGGGCAATCTACTTCCGTAGAGATACCGCCTTGGATACGCCCAAGGAGGGGTCGCTATGAGTTGCAACAGACTCCGTGGCAGTAACTTTTTTTTTTTTTTGGTTCTCCTTCCATGGGTAGGGAATGGAGAACAGTTCTAAGAGGGCTAGAAACTGCACCTAATCTGAGTCCCTCCCCTCCGGGCACCTCTTTTCCCCACCCTGCGGGAGAGTTGGAACTCCCTGCGAGCTTCCCCTCCGCACTGCCACGTCTAAGCCTCCACTCCTAGTAGCGCCTTCTGTAAAAGTACCCCCCCCCCCGTGGTCAACAGTTTGGGGCGAGGAGCGAGCGCCCTCGTGTGGGCACAAAACAGGGCGCTGTGGGAAGACTCATGGTTGGTTTCCTTGAGTCTCTGGGGGTGGGCTCATGGTACAGGTATTGGTGGTGGGGCTCCAGCCTGGATGTCAGAGAGTCTATGTAGAGGGAGACAAAACTGGGCGCCTCAGTGAATGCCAGGGTAAAGGAATCGTTTGATTTCCTGCAAGGATCTTAAAATAAAGGAACCCAACTTCATCGGAGACATCTACTATGAGCAAGTCAACGAAAGACAAATAGAATTTTATTGCAAAGACAAATAGACTCTGAACCCTGCCCCCCGCCCCCAACCCTATTTTCAGGGGCTAGAAGACCTATGCACCAATCAGTGCTACTACACTCGGCAAAGGATGAGGAGTTGCTTCAGGGGGTGAAGACCCACTCTTGCGAGGGTGGAAGCATTTACTTCCCTGTTCCAGAGTCTTCTCACTTGAATGGGGATAATAACATTCTATACGTAAATCTTTTGAGGGTCACTGAGACAATGGATATTGTCCAGAGGCTCGGGTAGGTGGGCAGGCCAGTGACTGAAGAGAAACCACAAAAGTGCACAGTCCATCTGCTAAATAAACAGGCCTGTCTTCTTCAGCTTCTTCCTGGTCGTGGAGGACAAAAGGAACATGGATTTTAAAAAAAGAAGCAAAAAAACAAATAGTAAATCTTGTGTTTGGTTGGGGAGCTTTTTTTTTTTTTCTTTCTTCTTTTTGGTTGGGGAAGGAGTAATCTGGTTGTAACCGGTGGGTGCAGCATTCAAAGAGTGGAATTGAGAGGTCCACAGACTAGTCATTTTGATTGCATTTGCCTTGAGTGGATTTAAAGTAGGAACTGAATCCCTTGGGCTTACTCTGTTGAGGAGTGGTCTGGGCTTAGGGGAGGAGAGACTCAGATGTGAGCTGGGGCCTTCCTGCCCTATCCGGAGAAGTCCAGTTTACCAGAAGGTTAGGCAGTAGGAGTGGCTCAGGTGTTCGTGTTCCCCCTAAACCCCTTAACTGAGGCTCAATCTGGGAAGCAAGTTCTACACCCAACGCCCTCCCTACGTAATTGACATTAATCCTAAAATCTAGTCACCCTTACATATATAGCAGCACCACAGCCAATTCTGTAAACTGGGGAGGGGCCCAGCAAGAAGGAGGGAATTTAAGACTCAAGTCACTGTTCTGTACCAAACAAATCTGGAATTGCCAAGAACAATGCCATCACCTTACATTTGTATAACATCTTTTATTTGTACAAGGCACTTTCATATCCATTGTCTCTTTTGATCGTCAGAAGAGTTATGTGTCCTATGTATTAAACCCATTCATCCTCATTCACCAAGTGAGAAGGCTGCAACAGGGAAGTAAGTGCCTCTACTCAGGTACAAAATAGGAGCTGTCATCAGAACCAACCACTTCTGATTCCAGCACTCTACTGTTGAATAACAGTTCATTAGTGCTTATCTCATTAAGACATGCTTTGGGCATTTCTTCATTGTGTTCTTTTAAGTACTTTAATTAACTATTGAGAATATGCAAAATTCTCTATAGAACACATCCAGGATATAAGAATAGCAACACAAAACTTGGTCAGTTTAAGAAAGAGCCATTGCCATTACTTCTCAATCCTCTGGGCCGTCTTCCCAATCCCACTCCATTTCCTTCCCTCTGCATGGAACTACGGCATAGCCATTATATTTATCATTTCCTTGCTTTTCTTGATGATTTTTACCACATATATTTTGATCTCTAAACAGTATGTGATTTTAAATCATTGTGAACTTTGCATAAATGGAATAATGAATTCATGGGAGTACTGTTTGTAATGGGAGAAAAATCAAGGTAACCCAAAAAGACCATTAACAGTAGATAGGATAAGTAAATTACGATAGTCTTGTGATGAACTATTATATAGCAATAAACATTAATGAATTAGAGTTAACTTGGATGAACCTCAAAAATATAATGTAATTAAAATTAGCATTCTTTCCTTTGTTTATACTGTGCTTGAATATTATTTAGGAAATTCTTCTCTCCTCCACGGTAATAAAGATACTTTCCTATGTTGTTTTCTAAAAACATTTTTATAGTTAGCTCTTTATGTAAGTTTTTAAGGCACATGAAATTGATCTTTTTTATAGCATGATGTAAAGGTAAACTTTAATTGTTTGCTACATAGATAAACAATCATTTAAGAAAAATGTGCTGAAACGTCCATCATTCCGCAATGTATAATAAATATACGTGTGGCTTTGTTATTGGGTTCTCCTTTCTGTTCCACTGAGTGAATGATCTATTCCTATGTTAATACTACGCTGTCTTAATTGCTGTATTTTAATAAAAAATTTTGATGTTTAGTAAAGCAAATATTCTATCTGGCTCTTCTTTTTCAAGGATATCTTGGCTATTCTTGGCTCCCTACTTTAAAATATACTTTTTAGAGTAAAACCAAAAAAACCAAACACACTGCCATCAAGTCGGTTCTGACTCATAGCAAGTTTTCCCAGGCTGTAAATCTTTATAGAAGTAGATCACCCCATCTTTCTTCCATGGAGTGACTGGTGGGTTTGAACTGCTGACTTTTCGGTTAGCACCCAAATGCCTTATCCACTACACCACCAGAGCTCCTTATACTTTTTAGAGTGAGCTTGTCAAATTCCATAAAACAGCTTGGCATTTTGATTGGCATTACACTGATCCTATCTATAGACAAACTTGTGGAGAATATTGAAACTTCCAGTTTGATGAATATGATTTCTCTCTCCATTTATTGAAACCTTCTTTAATGTCTTTGAATAACATATCATTTTTACCATTTAAGTTCTTAATTGACAACTTTTTGACATTGTTGCAAATGGCATGTTTTTTAAAAAAACATTTTCTGATTGTTATTGATATAGAAATGTAGTTGAGTTTAGCATTAATTTTATATCAAAAACTTTGTTAATCTTACTGTTTCTAATAATTTAGATTCTCTTGGATTTTCTTCAGAGCCAATTATATCAATCTGCTAATAATTATAAAGTTTTAATTTTTCATATTTATGCCTTTTATTAATTTTTCTTGCCTGATTGCACTGGTAAGGACCTCTAATACATTGTTGAATAGAAGTGATAGTGGGTACTCCTATCTTGTTGCTGATCTTAAAAGGAATGCTTTCAATGTTTCACCATTAAATATGATGTTTGCCATAGGGTTTTATTTGTAGAAATTCTTTTATTAGACCAATGAATTCTCTTTAGTCTCAGCTTTCTGAGTTTTATTTTAAAACCATGAATTGATATTGAATTTTATCAACATTTTTCTCCACATAGTAAAGTGATTGTTCAAATTTTCTTCTTTAATATGTTAATGAAATGAATTGTTGTTGTTATGTGCCATCGAATCAGACCATAGCGACTATCACTACAGAAGTAGATTGCCCAAGCTTCCTTCCGAGGAGTGGCTGGTGGATTTGAACAGCCAGCCTTCTGGTTAGCAGTCAAGTGCCTTAGGAACTATGCTACCAGAGCTCCTAATGAAATGAATTACA